CAGCTCTTCCCCAGTATGGATCAAGGCCTCAACCTTCAGATGCACAAATTTAAGGGCTGTCAACTCTGGCCTCCCTGTTAATTTCAGCTTCTGAGTTCAAGCACAAGGGCAAAGGACCACCACTCTGAAATGTTTTGGGACTGTATGTATCAGCAGACACACTGGCTTTTTTTGAGATTTCACTTGAGAAGCTAAATGAAACCTGCAAGTGGTAGGGAGAGGATGAATTTGATTCTTTCAAAGAAGTTTGGCAAAACGACAGTTTTAGTGGGACTGTATTTTATGCTTCTTTTTCAGAAAGATCTAGGTAGCTGCCATGGTGCTTTACTAGTAACTTCAGAGTGACACAGGTTTGTCTCACCTAAAAGATGGCTGCTAAATCAAACATATGAAATTGAAGTGGATGTAAACTAATGTAGAAGTGTTTGTGCCTGTTTGTAGAAACTGAAATAATGAGAGATGAGAGCTTTCTACCTGTTAAATAAAGATTCCTGAAGCTTAGCTTCTGCTTTTCATGAGCTACTATCAGAGCATTTGAGAAAGGCTAGGAGGGTCTGCAGAGTTTATTGAGAGTGGTATTACATATATTAGCAGCACCACATTTGTGTGACTTTTGCAGCACAGAAAGTGCTTTACAGAATACCAACCGATCGTGTCATCTAGTTTGACTCCTTGATTCATTTTTGGGTTACCTTTCATAGTTCTGGTCTCTTCTGAACACAAAATGGGGAGCTGACCTATCAAGAGTGTTGCAAAATTTGAGTGTAGTTTGCAGAAAATGCAACAGAAGTCACAGCATTAATAACAAATATTCAACACATTCGGTAGATTTCCTTAAGTAATTTTTGACTTCACCTTGCAGGGAATGGCTCGATCTGTCTACCAAAAGCATAACCCCAGGGTCCCCTGGATCCCCAAAGCAGCATGAATTTGCCTAAAGGTCAGCTGGTATGGTGATCTTACATATGAAAGCACAGTTCCCTGTTTAGGATGGAAGAAGCTGGAGACATCCCCCACCCCCCAGGACCCTTGCCTCCTGTGAGAAAAGTCATGATAGATCACACATATGAGAGATATAGCTCTCTTTTTCTGACAGCTGCAAAACTTAAAAGCAGTGATTTGAGGAGGAGTGATAGATACTGCCGGATTGGCCTTCCCCAGTATAGCACGCATCTATTCTTCCTGCGTGTAGCACGTAGCCAGCTCGTTACGGTTCTGTGCAGAATGATTTCTCTGCATGGCCAGGTGATGCTTAAGGAGACTAATGAGAAGAATGATACAGCCCAGAACACTGGTGTCAGGAAATATATTGCAAGATGTCTATCTTGGGGAAGCTGTACGCTGGGCTTGTCTTATTATATATTTCAAAGGGGATGTCTGTGTCATCACCAAGTTAGACATGCACCCTGCCCCATACTGCATTCAAATTAGATTTTTAGGTTTTCTTTCAAATAGCTATCCATTCAGTTTTTATTAGCTTAATGATAGGCTCTGTGTTGTACGGGGGCAAAATAAGGGTCAGTCGCACTGGTACACCGTTCTTTTGAAGTGGGAACTTGTTTCTGCGGCCATTGTAATATAGCTATGCAAGTGTCAGAGGACAGGATAGAGGCTGTCTTCTTTTTGTTGCTTCTGATTTTTGTGAGGAAAATCAAATAAATGTTCCCAGTGGAAAAAGGAAGTCAGCAGCTGTATGTGATGACCAGAGAATGTTTTTGTGCAGTGACATTGTAAGTACCTGGTCTGTTGTCAAACTGGAAAAAAAAAAAAAAAGCCTTTTCTTTTCCTCCCGCTGTCAACCAAAGTGGAGAAAACCCCTGTGAATTTTCATGAGATACCTTTTCCTCATTTCCAGCACTTAACAATCCAATTATATTTGGTTTTATGCTAGTGTTTGCCTCTATTGCCATTGTTAGGTTTTTGAGTCAGAGTGATTTTTCCATCCTGATGGTGCAGATGAAAAATATGTTTCATTATGACTGGTTATAACCCTGGAAATCTTTTCTCTCGCTTGGGTTGATGATGATTTTTTATGTTTCATTCTGTACTGATGCCTAAAGTGAAGTAGAATGAACCATAAGGAAGCTTTGTGAAAATATAACCCCTTCTACTCTGCAGAATTATCTTGAAAAAAGCTTGGATCTTTCTAATTTTATATGTTGGGTTTTTTCCCCCTACTATTATTCAAGTAGTTTTTACAAATGAATGTTGTTTTCGTAAGGTTGTTTATGAGGGCACTGCGCTTAGCAGCCCCTGCTCACCTGTGAACAAATTGCATGCTGCAGATAAGGAATCTAGTTGTTTCTCGATAGGGTGACCTTATAAACAGATTCTGCAGCAAGGCAAGCTTTTAAATTCCTAACCAAATATATTATGTGAGTAATAAAAAGAGTTCCTCAAAATGGCCACAGAGGCATTTCAGAGCACGTTCTTGGGAATATGCACTTGTGCTACCATTCATTAAGTTTGCTTTCAGCAAACATTCCCATGAATGAAATTTTATTCACTAGTCATTATGATTAGTACTTTGCTATCATAACAGTAAACAGATGTTTTGTATAGGGCCAGAACCTGATTTTGTCTGAGGCTGGAGAAACATCTTATCAGGTCTCCAGAGCATGTATTGTCTAAATATAAGACCAGACTCAGCTAACAGCTCATGACTGGGAATTGCAAACCCTCAGAGACCAGGATGAATGCAGAACCATACCAAATGTTATACCATTTGAACTACAGTATGTTGCAGTGTTACAAGTCCACTGAATATGAATGTAATTATGTATTTTTATGATATAAAGGTGGTTTTGTTGATGATAATTAGTTTTACGAATAAAAGGGAATATCTACAGATGCAGTTCATTACTATGCCAAACTAGTTTATACACACACTAATGAACACACTGGAACTGGACTGTCTTAGGGTTTGGTTTTTTTTATTTAAAAAATGGCCTAACCCAAATATATGTGCAAGGAAAATCCCTGGATTTTAGGTTATACCAGACTTAGACTCTGAGTTATGCAAATACATGGACTCCCAGAATGTGAGTAAAGCCCTTCCTGGAAAAGTTACATGAAATTTTTAGCTATGCAGAGCTGAAGTACGCTTGAAATCTTGTTTCTTCCAATCTAGAAGGACATAAAAGAGCAGAGGTATACTGTCACATTGGAGGAGGATGACTGTGGCAGGGCACTTCCAACTTCGGGTTTGCTATATCAGAAATGAGAGACCAAAAAAGCATGGCCAATTTGAATATAGAAATGGTAGCTAAGCCTAGGCACAAAGCGCTGGATCTCATTTGCTGAGCATAATGTGTATGATGTTGCTGTGTGTGCCTTCACATACTAGGGAAAAAGCATGTATTCCGTGCCTTGGAGGTATGCAGTCTGACTGGCCGATTTGTAGAGTCCTTCAGCATGCAGTGACTGACACTGGCTACTATCTGGAGCATTGATTCTTGGGCGTGCCAGAGTGCAAGATGTTCTGTGGTCATGGGTACAAAGTGCATAATGTACATGTGCAAAATGAAAAGGTTCTGTGGGGTGGAGGGAAGGAGCTGTTAAAAAGTCAGTGTGCCAATCCCTTCTATTACTCAAAATAACCATTCCTGTCTGTCCGTAGATCAGACAGAACAGTTTGTTGGCAGCAGAGCTAAGCACAGGACATTAAGTATTTCTCCTCTTTTGTTGTCTTACTGCTCTCTTTTCTCATGTCATGTGAAAGAAAGCAAATAATCTGGTTCGGTTCTTTGACATTTATAATTAATTAGTCCTTCATTACTCTTATCGTGTTTGCCTGTCTTTTTCTCTGACTTTTCCATTTTCTACTTTATCTCTCAATGATCAGATCCAAGAAATCATTCAAATGATTTCTTTTTAACCAGTAAATGCAGCTTTACAGCATTTCTTTTTTTTTTTTTTTTCCCTTTTGAAGAAAGACTCGGTCCCTTCTTTTGTTCATCCCACTGCAAAAGTTGTCATGTTCTGGCACTGCAGTCACTTCTAAGACCTTGAGCTATCATGTATTCTGTTGGTATTTGAGGAATTGAAAATCAATCACATAGCCTTATGGCTTAGGTTCAGCACAATTCTATTATGCCCACTCCCAGAAGTCAATTCAAACCTTTTGGGTTATATTTCAAAGCCTAATCAAGCTTGCTGTCCAGACTGGTTTGGGCTCAATTCATGCTTGTCCATGGTCTGTTTATTAGAAGGTTTTTTTTTGTCAGAAACTTGTGTGGAAAAAAAAAGTAATTTTTTATAACAGTAGAATCATTCAGTGGGCATTTTAGAAAGAGAAGCCACCCAAATAAGTTTTGTGGTAGAAAATGCTTACTTATTGTAATGCACTTCTGCAAATATGTTTGAAGATATCTTTTTAAAGAAATGCTATGTTGGTACAAGTGTTCATAAAAGTACTTTGTCATAAAAAGATGCACCAGTTTACTGGTTTACTGTTTTCCAGTTCTGTCTTGTTAAGCTGGTACAGAAATTATTTAGTTTTTAAATATTGTAGATACAACCCTAAACCTAGATGGTGACTTTCATGCTTTGGACCATGTGAACAAATGAAGATGATGCCTCCAAGCAGATGGGCCAGCCTCCTCCAAGCATGAGTTGTGCCACCGCCACTTGGCAGGCACACATGGGACTGTACCATGACTATATCAATCACCTTATTTCCAGCAAGTGCCAAGAACTCACCCTGAGAATGAAAGAAGCTCTATATGTAGCTGGCCATTACCAATTCTCAGTGAAAACATATACCTCATATGTGCTGGGGGCAGATCAGTCTCATCTCACTGGGGAGAAAGCAGTGACAGGCTCTTAGTGGGGGCATTTCCTGATGATTTATAGAAGTCTCCTCATTAAGTGAAAGCCTGGTGGCCATTCTATAGGAGTCAAGTGCAGTATAAATAGGAAACAACCCTCTCCTTCAGCCCGCCATGGGTAAAGGCATTGCTCTTCATTCTTCATGCTTCTTCTCATTCTGTATTCTGCAGAGGCGCAGAGATTTTCTCCAGTGGATGCTCGACTCCTGTGACTCAGCTGACTCCCCAGCAGCTGGGTGTTTTGATGTGATCAGTCCATCTGCTGCTTCCAGACAGAACAAGGTGCCTCTTGCTGGCAGGGCCCCATCTGAAAAGGTTCAGAAGACACTAACAGAGGATGAGATAGCAGGCCAGGCTTTCCTGTTCCTGATTGCTGGGTATGAGACCACTACTAGCACGCTGTCCTTTGCTACGTACTTGCTAGCCACCAACCCAGAGTGCCAGGAGAAGGTTCTTCGGGAGGTTGATGAGTTCTCAGCAAAACATGTGAGTACGATGTGGTGGTGTGGAGCTTCATGCAGGGAGCAAGACAATATGAATGTTGTCATGCCACTGCGGCACATGCATGGCCCCTATTTGTCTCAGTTAAATATGCATATATTAACATTTTATTAATATTTTCAGTAAAAAAAAAATAATCTAGATGAATATATATTGTCTAGGGTTTTTTTGAAACTTAAACAGTGTCACTTTACAGCAACTGAAGAAATGGCCCAGAAATTTTGTTTTAGAGTGAAAACTTAATATTTACAAAATATTTTACACTGTTGAAATTAATCAGCTGTTTTCAGACTCCAAAACTGCACATTTCTATTTTTTTTCCTCTTGTCCAGATACTTCTATTGGTTTTGTAGTCAATTTTATTTACTAGTCTTTGTAAGGACATAAAAGTCTTTCTTACAAACCATAAACTGCAGAGTTTTGTTTTATATGTTCATACTATTTTTTTTCTTCAGCAGCAGAATATATGTGTATGCTACAAAAGAAAAAAAAAACAAATCACAATATCTAATTCACTTATGCTATATTCACGTTACTTCCCCTTCACTATCTGTATTTACTAAGGGCATTTATGTTTCCTAGATAACTGTTGAAAATATTTGGTATATCTGGCAGGCCATGCAGCAGGCATTCTTCCACCCTACACTTTGCACAAGTTGTCAGTTATGCGAATTCAGATCAAGGGTCTTTTTCTATTCGTGAATGCTTTTATAATGGATCATGAAGCTGACAGGAATAAAATGACACCAGGCGTGGCTGTCTTGCAGGATTTTAGCTGCTGGATTTGCATGCTGAAAGCCTTTACTATACATTTTTGGAAGTTTCATGCTTTTTATGCATTCTATCCTCTGTGTTATACTTACAGAACAAGAAAGTTGTATAATTTGCTGCTTTGCTGGTAATAGAAAATTCTTGACTCTGCAACATGTGCCCATGCAAAAGCTAATGCTTCCCTCCTCCTGCTTGTGCGAACATAAACACCAGGATTTGTGTACACAGAAAATGTCTTATTTTGTCTTGCATGATGAGGTTCTGAGCATGCTGGTTCTCTGGATAAGATTGATTTTGCTCTGAGGGTGCAGATGAATGACAGCAGTCAAGGTTAGGACTGTTCAGTCTGATCCATAGAGCTTTTATTGGTGCATACTTCATACCTCTGGTGTGAATTAACTCAATACAGTGAAACCGTTCATGCATTATGTTCTAACCTATAGCACTTGGGTTATCTGCTTAGGTTATTAGCTCTACAACACTCCAGCTGGAGCACATTTACTTATTTCATTCAAGTACGTCAGGCCTAATTGTGCCTTTGTTTCTGGGTAGTTCAATTGACTTTCTTAAGGATGCAAAGATGTGAAGGTGCAACTTGGCCTGCAGTATGTGCAGTTTACTGGTCAACACTGATGGCAGAGTTGCACATGGAAACTCCTGCTATGCAGCCGCAAGGAAAATACAGTTCATCTGCTTGCCAGTTCCTGGAAACTGCCAGCCTAAGAAACCAGAGTGAAATTGCTGGGAGAGGTATCCAATATGATAGGTACGTGATGCATTCATATGTGTCTGTAGATGGGGATATGAATTAATAAACTTTTCCATGTAAGTGCATAGAAAGGTGACTGCAAGCAGTTGTTAGCTGGACAACTGTTTGCAGGCATTTAACATAGGAAGACCATGTATACGGCTGTGTCTATGTTAACAAGCAACATGCTCCTGTACACACATATTTGCTACCTAGTTACTGCATGCAGGCTATGTACACCTTAGGGGGTAGGGTTTATTTTGGATTACTTTGAGTTTGGCCCTGTGTATTAAATTGCCCCTAGCAGTTGGGCCAATATTCTGGTTTAGTTCCGGTTAAAGGAGCCCTTGCAGTGCACTTGACAACTGCATTGTGAACCAGTGCAAGACTCTTACATGTGAGTGCACTCGTGATCTAAACTAGAGAACTAAATGGAGCCTATGTTGTTTATAGTCTGTCTGAGCTATCACTCACTGTTAGTAGCATTACCATAATAATCTGATTCAAGCTTGTGATGCTTGACTGTCTTTGTTTTCTAACAGGAATATTTTGCTAATAATTTCAGCTTTTGCAGTATCTAGGAGGGGTTGTAGAGCCGGGGACTCTTGTGGCAGAGAAACTAAAACTTGGTGTAGGGAGACTGCACTCAAATGAATTATTTTTTCAAGTCAGCACTGTACACAATCTGTGCAGTGCCTCAACTGAAACTGGTGGCATCATCCCAAACCATGCTGTCTCATGTCATATATTCATTGGAAGTACCATTTAAATCATTTCCCCATACTTCACTAGTTTTCAGGTTTAGCTTTAGATGATGCATATATGGCTGTATGGCCATAGAGAAGAGGGAGAGAAATATAATTATTCATCTACTGTCCTTGATACCAGGAAATTCATAGCTCCAATCTGTTCAGGCCCATCCTTCATAAGATTTCCTATTATAAACAGCTCATGATCTGAGTGGAGATAGTGCACTACTCAAGGAGCCCATCCCAGAATAAGGAAAAAGGTGCAGCAGTTCAGTCCCCTTAGTGACTGTAATTAACCACTTTTAGCCTAGAAAAAAGATCTATGGGAACGGTTTGCAAGTTATGGGAGCAGAAGCTATTTTAAAACTGGGTATATATAGATGCTCTGTTCAGTTGTCATGCAAGGGAGAGGAAGGGAGGGGGCATAGCAGCTACAGACTCACAGTTAGTTATAAAGTCAGTTGCTAAGAAATTTGATTAGGTTATTGCTTGTACTCAACACATCAGCTGTGCTCTTATCAAGGTGCTTTGCAGTTTTCAGAAAGGAAGGGCTTAGAAGGCCAAATGTAGAATGATACAGTTAGGTTATTATGACTGGGGGTGAAAGACTGCTTTGATTTGCAGACACACAACTGTTAAACACAGTACCCTCTTCAACCAAATTTATACTCAGGTAATTATAACTACAAAATGCTCTCCACCATGTTCCCCTTCCTTCCTCCAACCATTTTAGTTGCCTCATGCAACATTTTTTATTGCCCTGATCTGTGGTGTAGAGCTGTGGTCTGATTTTACAGCAGCTGCTGTGTATGATCCCAGAGATAGCTGTACTTTGGTGGTGGACAGAGTGATATATACACTCATTTACTAAAGTTTATAAAGACATGTGAGAGCCATCTGAGAAAAGATGCTATAAGAGACAGTGCAGTTCCAGGTTTTTTTGGCGCACCAGTTAAAACTCCAAAGCACAGTGACCTTGTGATAGCCAATAAGGACAGCAAGGTTGGTCCATCTGGGTGTACAGAAGGATTTTGGTGGCTCTGGGTATTGTACTTAAGGATACCCCAGAATTTGCTCTGATCTTCATCTGTCTTGCTTGCACAGTAGGTGCCTTAGCAGAATGGGACAACAAAAATAGAAAGGAGACAGCCAAGGCACTGGTGTGATAGAGATCTCTGTGCTAGCTTGGCACAAACTGCTGCAGTGCGGTGCAGAAACGCAAGGTTAGTGCTGGACGTGGTCTAGCCCCTGTGCTGTGCCAGGAGTTGGAAGCCCAGAAGAGAGGCACATCTGACTGACCATGTTGTACTGCTGTGTTGTGTCCAGCCGCGTTTGTCTCAAAGCTGTCTTGGGAGACCTCACTGCCTCTCTCCACCTCTCTGAATATGCTGTAGAGATGGCATTTGCAGGCAATTGTCTTTAGAGAACAGGGCCTGGAGCTAGTAATGGATTTGTAATCTCTTTACTTTGTGTTGTTTTTTTTACCTCAGGACCTTCCTCATCTGTTCACTAAAGAACTTTTTAAGTGTTCTCTTGTCTGATGTGTGGAGGCTTGGTGATGTCTCTTTCCCTGAAAGTGAGATGAGGCATCTGGTCCATTTCAAACTCTGGCAAACAGGGGAAACCTCTATCCTTGGTTATCGTAGAGGGCAGGACACACAGGTTGTTGCCCTCCTCTCCTCTGTCTGGGTTTTTGGAATGTAAAGTAAGGGAGTGAACAGCTTTTCATCATCCCTGGGGAAGCAGAGAGACAGGGTACTGAGTGTGACTACCGTCTTACACACTGCACCTTCCCATTCTACCTGTGAATTCCTGTGTGTGTTCCAACTGCGCTGCGAAAGACAAGTTTGAACATAATTCCTCTAACAAACAAATTGAAATTAAAAATGTAGAGACTCTGTACTTCTTTGTGAATCCTTTGGGGGTGTAGTATGTGCCCTGTGAAGGGCCATCAGCTGAAAACAAGATGCACCTATTTGCTGGATGTGTAGCCTGATTTGATACCATGAAGACAAAATAAACGAGATGAAAAGACAGTTAAATGTGAGCTAGTGAGGGCAGGACGCCTACATCTGTGTGTACATAAGGGAGTATTATGTTTTGCAGAGACCACAGATCTGTTTCCAGGACAGCAGAGAGGGGTCAGATCTTCAGAAGGTTGTAAACTGGCGCGTGTTTGGTATTAGTACAGGTTTGATGATATGTATCAGTGGAGAAGCTAGCCTGGTATATACAAGTAAAAGAGGGTGGGGAGGGGGAGAAGGTTGCTATTTCAGGACCAAATTATTTTCATGGCATTTGTGGCTATCCTCCCCTAAATTGCTAGAGGTTATACAGTTGTGAAAGAGATGTTTTATCTGCATTAACCAAGTAACAAGCCATATGCCCATGGTCTTTGCCCTTTCCATTGCAGTAAAAAATGATCCCTGTATGATGTTTTTAAAGAGCCTTTCAGAAGACATGCATTTATGAACAGTTTTTGCCCTTGTGACTGATTATTTTGTTGAAAAGCGAGTTGATTTTTGTGTGCATGTGTGCTTAGCAAAAGCATAGCAAATGTGCAGCATACATTTGTTCTGAGTAGACGGACACTTGCTCCTGAGTGCCGCTGCACTGTGAGCTGCTCTGTGTGTTTTCTCCTAAGCCACAGTGCTTAAGGCATGCAAAGTCGCTGCATCTTCCACACTGGGGGTTCCCATAACATGAAGCCTCTCCTA